CTGAAGAAGAAGAAGAAGAAGAAGAAGAAGAAGAAGAAGAAGAAGAAGAAGAAGAAGAAGAAGAAGAAGAAGAAGAAGAAGAAGAAGAAGAAGAAGAAGAAAGGTTATGATAACGATAACGATTACAATAGTAATAACTTAGTAATTTCATCGTCAGCGAACAAAACAAGATTAGTCGGACACATATGTGTCATGGCGCGGTGGAATCAGGCGCTCGTCAATTTTTGGCCATGTAGAGGTGTTGGTATCATCTGAAAGCTGATTTATTTCCCTCGCTTTCAATGAAATAAATATACATTTATGTTGATTAGAACTCAAGATATTTGCGATTGAAAGAAGTGTGGTTGCCTGGTTCCGGTAGTAAAATTAACGAGAAAATGGCCGTAAAAGTTAGGTAACTCCAGTAGCTAAAGAATCTTTGAAAACTGAAAAATGACATATTTTTTGCCTTTAAATCAATGTTTTTCAGTAAAATTCATATGGAAATGTGATTTGATATGGACCTAAAAGAGGTTAAGCCAAAAAATATAAATTCCATTAAGAATGTCCAAACTGGCGTAAAAATGTCTGTTTCTCAGATTTCGCTATTCTTTCCCTCGCCTGATTTCACCACGATGCCCCTCACATTCTTCCCTCAGACATAGACGAGTGTGCTGTGAGCAATGGCGGATGTGCTCAGACCTGTGACAATCTTCCGGGCAGTTTTCAGTGTCGGTGTACCTCTGGGTACACTCTGGCGACTGATGGCGAACTCTGTGATGGTAAAAACCTGTACATTGTTCTCCTCTCATGTTTGGTAGTGTTGATCTTTGCTAGAAATGTTCATTAAAATAAAACAAAATCGAAACCGAATGAGCAGATAATATGAAAATAGAAATCCCTTCAAGCTATCTAATGTTGATTAACTTCAAAGATGATCATTCATCTTTAATTTGTGAAGGGAGAACTGATGTTAAGCTCAAAGATCAACGAAAAAAAAGGAAACCCACATTTAGCAACTTGCAAACAGCAACATAACTAATAACACGAAAGACATAATCACCACAATATGCATGCACGTACGATATAAATCTTTCGAGAAACGTTCTTCCAAAAAACCTTTACTGGCATAATACACGAAGAGAGAAATGGTAACTATATAATTTTTAAAAAACCAACCAAATATTCACTCCGGTTCCCGGTTACCGGTGACTGGCCTGGATCGTATGCAATAGGCGCAGGGGGACATCGGTTAATCATCATCATCCAGGGCCAGATCTGCGACAGACATCAATGATTATTGTTCTCCATTCATTCCTTTTGTTCGGATGCCCTCAAAAAAGCTACGTTTCCCTGATCTTTCCCTTTTACCTATTTGTTTAGGTTCCCTAAGTAGGTTGTTCTGGGCCTACTCCTGCCTCATTTGCCTTCAATTGTGCCAGTGAGAGCTAGATGTTCAAGACGCTTATGTCTATTCAGGTGTCCTAAAAACTGCATTTGTCGTTTCCTGTTTGTTTTTAACATTGAGCGTCCCACGTGGGCTTCATGAAGCACTAGTTTAATAAGGACCAAATATCCCCCCCCCCCCCTCGCCACACAAAAAAATCCAAACAAACCTGTAAAAATAAATGCTACTTCTAAACATGTCAACTGTCATCTCTCAGACATAGACGAGTGTGCAGTCAGCAATGGTGGCTGTGGCCAGGACTGTGAGAACGTCCCCGGTACCTTCCGCTGTGTGTGTCACTACGGGTATACCTTGGCCTCTGGTGGCTCGGCTTGTCTCGGTAAGCCAGTCTGTGG